ATGTTTACCAAGCAGATAGGACCCAGGTGTTTCATCTCATCTGGCGAACAGAACAGCACTGTCAAACTACAGGAGTTTTTAGTAAATGGAAAGTGCATATCGTTTCCTCTCTCTCTCGTTTCCTCCTCTTTCCAAAGCAAAATCCAAAAATCCTTTTACTGTCTGGTCAGTCAGAAGGAGGAAACAAGAGAGAAAAAAAAATCTTTTTAACCATGACATTGACACCCACAAATTTTAGAGTACTAGAGAATTTCTACAGAACTGTTTTTCACAAGACTGTTACCTCAAATCTGTTTTTATTCCTTTTCATCTTCATTTTTAACTTCAGAAAACAGACATGTTTCTCCCAGGGGAACAATTAAATGTGTTTTCTTTCAAAATCTAAAGGGCATGGTGAGCAGGCTGTGTGTTCAGCAGGCTACTTTAATCAATGGAACCCATCCAGCCTGCCGCTGCTGACCAAATTGCAATTTACATTGGTAGATAAAACTTTTGAAATGGGAAGATGCAAGAATATAATACCAATTTCTGGCATAAAACAGATGCAGAGTGATATGTGGCTTAATGGTTTTCCAATAAGCTTTTTGGGGAAAAAAAAAACCGAACAACTTTGAAACCTTAGAAGTATAGACTAAAATTATAGAAAGTTCTTCTTGACCAGTGAAATTAATGCTAAATGTGCAAGACTAATGTAGTCCACATGACACTCATGTCTTATTTAAGCCTCATTTACAGAGATTTAAGAGAAGCCAGATTTGCAAGATCTCCTCCCTCCACCCCTGGTTCTCAACAGTCTCTCCTCACATACACATAAGATTTTAAACCAGACAAGAATGACAAGATGGAGTGAAATTGTTTGGGACCTGAACACAACTTAAACCTGTCTTCTAATATTAAAGATGTATGTTTATTTATTTGTTTAACAGAAGTGATGATGAATAAGGCAGAATGCATATTTATCAAGATGTTGGAAAAGATAGAAAACCAGAAAACTAACGTTACGGACTGAGAAATGTATTAAACCCTTAGGTAGTACTGTTCTCCCTTTTAGGAGGAATAGCTACACTATGAATACCAGGTCTGTTTCGCAACCTGAGAAGCCCTATGAATTGCTGAGGTTAACATTTTCTTAGCTACTTAATTTCATAGTTATTTTGTGCAAGTATTACAGGGAGGTTTTAACATTATGCAAAGAGGCAGTGCTTCCAACCAAGTATACACGGACTTTTCACTGGCAGTGCCTGAGAGTCACAATGAAGCAGCGCTGCTGTGCTTATCAAATATGAGATCAGTTTATTTGTGCTATAAATAAAAGTAGATCTTGGTAGTGTAATTACATTCCTCAGCATTATCCTCTGCCATTCGCTTCAGAAAGAAAAAAAAAAGGGAGAAAAATTTGCCTTCATGATAATTTGTAATCAAAATGACTACACTTAAAACATAATTTTATTTCCCTGATTTCATTTCCTGTGGAGGTTCGTGGGGCAAATAGACAATATTATACAAAATTTGCTGGCAGATAATTCTCACATCCTTTCACGGTCATTGTCTAGATCACTCCCCCACCTCCAACCCATGCTTTCCCCAAAACTGAAGACTGTGTTTCTAATGCTGAATTTTATCACTGAGAGATATATCAGCATCAGAAATCCCGTGAGTGAATCAACTTTTACTTTCTCTTTCTCCTTTCCTCTCTACCAAATTACTCTTCCTTGCCTAATTTGCTTTTTATGATGTTGGAAATAAATGTGGTTTCCCACTATGAAGGATTAGCACAGATTATGGCGAACAGTGTTAATTATAGGTGGGGAAAGAGAATTGTGCATCTCTCCAATCTGTTCTTGATTTCCCTCGTGCCTGTCTGGCTGGTAATAAGCCTCCTTTAATCTGGCAGTCCCCTTGGTGAAATCAGCACCACGGACAGCAATATTGATTGCTTCTGAGAAACCATCACAGCTGCTCAACCAAATTACCTTTGATATGTGACCTTTAATGTAATTACTGCAACATCAAAGCATTTCTATAAATTATTAAAGAACTAATACACTTCATCATCCAGCTACTCTATTATATGTAAAATAAACAATCACAAGTAAACGCTTTAATTTGAGATGTCCGATGCTCACAAAAGTGCTCTTTAAACATACATGCACACCCTCCTACATTAACCTTCAATTTTAGGTGATAATCTCAAACGGTCCAAAAGAGACTAATTCATTTAGAGGAAGAGGATTCGACTAATAATTTTATGTTTTACATTCCACTCTAGTTACTTCATGGTTCCTTCTTGCCCAAAAACAAAGTGCCATAAAGACTTTATTAATAAACACATACCTGCCTGGAAGTCTTTTGATTATTCCACAAGATGACTTTATGTCCCACATATAACATAAAAATATGTGAAACATATTTCTGTCATCTTACAAAGCACATCCAGAAAGTAATTACTGTAAAATATGTGCATGTAGCCACTCCACTAAAAACACAGTGACACATAGCTAAGAGGCAAGGTGTCTGAATCTGGACACAAATTCCTAATGCCTCACCATTTCCATACATTAGCATTCATGTGCATATTATTAAAAATGACTCAATTTTCTGCTTTAGAATACAAGGATCACGAACAGCAATATTGTAGGAGAAGACAAATATAGAGTTTACTGATGGAAAGAAGCATTCTGATTTAACGGCTCACAGTAGTACTACTTCCCCCTCCTACCTCAGGCTTGTTAATTATTTTCGATACTTTCTGAGTAGTGCTGTCTGTGTCAAGGACACTTGAGGGTCAAGAGAAGGGGTTATATACGTGTCATTTTTGAACTCATGTGAACGAAGACTTAGACCCTTGACCTTTATGAATGTTTTTTATTTTATGATGATGAACTATTCTTGATATTGTTGGTGCATATAATCCAGCACAGTCAGGTAAATCATAAATAATTCTTAGCTACTCACATAGGAATCATTAAACAGTATCCAGGCATAATAGTTTATCAAGAGACAAGGCTGGTTTCCTTAAATAAACTACAGTGACATCATTCAGAAGATGAGTTCAGAAACTTGGCAGAAGACTGTATGCAGAGGGTTTGCTGGTGAAAAATAGAGTTTATCCTGAGACAAGCAGAACAAGAAGTGAAAGGGAGAGTCAGTGCTCAGAACTGTCAAAATCCAGGTTACAATTGCAGAGGGTTCACTTTCTCAGTTTAATCAGATACCGATGTGTCATTTCAAAGTTTAAAAACAAATCAAAAGAAGCATTCTGAAATCAGCATGGTCAGTATGATCTGTATGGGATGGAAGTGACATAAACCAATGAACAAATGTTTTATCTGTATTATAGAATCAAACAATATAATCTGTGAAATGCATCTTTATGCCAGTTCAACTGGTGGAATTTTGTCACCGTCCAAAGCAACAATTTTTAAGATAAGAGTTTTGTGATTTGGAATCCCTAAAATGCAAGCCAGGATTCAGAAATATACACATATAAAGAAGTTTATTTGTAACAAAGTTACCTCCAGTTTTAATAAACATTTCAAGCTTATTTTAAAAAAATCCAGGTAAAATACTTTAGACATCCCAATTCAACACAAACATTTATTTTTAATTTTATGTACTTACAGACCTTAATTCTTGAATGATAAAAGAAAACATTAACTATAGGAAGAAAAAAAAAAAAAAGGATAAACCTAAACATCAACATTAAAAATAAAAATAAACCTGAACATTAACTTTCAATCTGTGGTTAACGGGTTTCTAGAAAAAAAAATTTCTGAGGGAGTTGTCAGCTGACAGAAACGTATTTTTAGGGAATGAAGTATGTACGTATTTACATAAGGTATGGCCTTTAAAGCAAAGATAGACTTAGATGAGCAAATGTGTGGGCATCTCTGCAATGGCAAGGTGGCAAAGAGATAGGTAAATAGACTCTGGATGATGGAAACAAGCAGAGCAGAATCAACACTTTCTTCAGAAACAGAGCAACTGGTTTATCTTAGGTTTTTTAAAGTGGTGGGTTACGGGTAAACAGGACTCATTCGTAATATATGAAGTAATAAAACAAAACCTTGGATCAATTTCCCCTTGATTTTGGCAAAAACTGAGACATTCAAGATCTCAGTGTTAACTACTTGATCACTGGCTTTAGGATCAATTTCCCCTTGATTTTGGCAAAAACTGAGACATTCAAGATCTCAGTGTTAACTACTTGATCACTGGCTTTAGGATCAAATCAGATTTGTTCTGGTTTGCAGTGTACAGGAATCCTGCACTCAGATGTTTCCAATCTGTATACCACATCTGAATTTAAATAATCTCTCTCTCCCTTCTTTTGGTTACTGCTAAACTGGAAACCCTTCCCAGCAGAGAAGGTCTTCCCCACGTAATACTGATTCTATTTTTAGTTCTGGTAGTGTTGTCTGAACCTTAGATCTTGTTCATGTGAATAATTTTCCTCATTATCTTGTGCTCATCTCCTCTCTCTCTTTCTCTTGTCTCACCGCCTTTCCAATCTGCTACAGCTGTTTGAATACTAAAGCAACTGAGTCAAACCACTTTGTCATCAAGAATATGTTTTCTTTCTGTGATAACTCAATAATGTGATCTGTCTCTTGATTTTTCAGTACCATACCTTGCTTCAGAGAAGAAAAACAGTAAGAGTTAACACCTTGTGAGCAGTTCTAATACTTCACTATAACAGTCATAAGCTTAAAGCCTTTCCTCATCTGAATAAATCTGGTAGAATCTAATCCACAACAAGTTTATTATTGCTTTGCTCTTATCAGGAGCCAAGAAAAGCCTTTTCTGTTTGTGCATGGATACGATTTGGGTGTGTCGGTGATATCTTGATTTTATTAGCACAGTGTAAATAGTGAAACATACAAGCAACCAGAGACATTATGCTTCCAAACTCAAGATGGGAACTGCATATGTAATCAATTCTAGATTTTTAGAAAAATAAAAAAAAAAAAAAAAACAGAAAAAAATCAATATGAACTCACCCCTGGCAGTGTCTTCTGTTCATGCAGTGCACTCTGGGCCTTTAGAGCAGACTCCCTTTCGCAGTATGTTAGGAAGGCACAGCCTGAAAGCAATAACAGAAAAGAAACCACCTCAGTAAAAGCAGTGTTTCCCAAAAGATTTGTTTAAAAATGGTATGTGGAATAAACCTATCATCACCCATTTCAGTAAATTAACCACTGAATCTCTCTTTAGTAAGTCAATAGTGAAGAGTCTAGAAATTAAGCAGTCATCACTTCCACTTGGCCCTTGCAAAAAGCAAGTAACAGCAAAGATATAAGTGTTTATTTTTGTTTGACTATATACTACATATTAGATACAAAGAGATGTGTAGTATCTGGGATCCTCAGAACACACAAATTACAACAAGGTGGGTCATGAGATCCTACTCCAGCTCCATGTCAGCACTGGGAACAAGTTTACCTTACCCTACAATCATACCATGCTGAAGATCTCACACATTTCTCTGTAGAAAGTACTTCAGGTAAGGGGTATAAAAGTACTAAGGACTTTCTACTGCAGAGGTCTATGACTATTCTTTAGCCTGACTTGAATTCAGAAGCAGTCTCCCAGTCTGTATTCACACCAGAAAGTCACCTCCCTGCAAATGCTGCTGCAAGGGTTCATCGTCTTTATGTGAATGTATGGAAGACAATCATAGCAAAGCCCAAAAAAGCAAAAAGATCATTGCTTTACAGATCAGCAGAACTTCAGAGATATTCTAATCTATCACATATATTTGCTTCTTCCAGGAAGCTGTCTTAACTGAAAACGATAAATCCCTGTCAGATTATGGCAGAGTAAAAACCCTACCACACCTCCCTCCACACATATTCTCCTCTTCTCATATAACTGGTGAATGTTGCAGTATCTTCTATCAGTTGTGCATGTATCTGCTGTGATCAGATTATTCCTTCTTACTGCAGTATTCTGAAAACCTGCCAGTTCCTGCAGCAGAAGTAGTGCTTGTTATGCAGAGAATATTTTCTTTGAAATTACAACACAATACCTGTAATCGTATCATCTCTCTGATGTATAGTTAAGAAATCTTTCAAGGTTTAGGCTTGCCTATAGGCTTGGCATGTCCAAACTGTAGGCATTTCCAAGAGGAACACAATACACATAAGCTGTCAAGGAAACCGCATCTTGACCCACTCGTCTTCTTCCCGTGCATATAAAAAATATGCAGTATGTGACTTAACAGTAGAATATGGATTCCTTTCAATTCTGACCCCCATTATGATATTTTGCCCATAAAACAGACACAGTTTTATACAAATTTCTTGGGTAGCATATGTTTCAGAAGAACAGTGCACTTGTCTTCTTTTCAGCGATTTTAATAAATTAGTATGCACAAGGGAATAGGGAGAACATATAAAATTTTTTAAAGATTACTTTGTTGCAGTCACCCTACTCTCCTCAAAATAAAACCACAAGCTCTTTAATTTTTCAATTTAACATGGGAAAAAATAATTTTTCCCCTTCTTCTTATTCCATATTACTTTCTGAAGGTCTTGTTCCTTTCAGTATATTCAAGCCAATCACATTTATTATGTCTCAATAATTGATATTCTCAGAAGGAGAAACTGACAGTCAAGGAAGGAGACTGAACAAACAGCAAAAGTTTCCATCCTCTAATTGGAATTATTTGGATTCATTCCCCTTTAACTTTAAATGGATGAGTTTTCAGTCTGCATTTGCCATGAAAGGGAAAGAAAATGTGGTAGAGACAGTTTACAGCTAGTGGAGGTAATAGATTGAAAAGTATCCTTAAAAGTCACCCATAGCTTGATAATCAAATGGGAAACTATGCTTAAATTTAATTTCAGTGCTAAATCACAGGCTGAGTGCTCTCTGTTGACTAGACACAATAAGAACGTCTCCCTTTAGTAGCAGACGTGGAGCAGCTGATACAGTCTAATTAGGCACATCATAGTGCACTGTTATAGAGATAAACTATGCAGTGTAAAGCTCCCATAATGATAGCTATATTTTTCTCCTTATTGTGATGGCCATGAAGACAGTTCAGGATAACAGTGTTGTGACTTTAATTCTGATGGAATAGAAAGAAGACTTTCTCTCTGAAGGGGTAAGGTTTCCTTCCAAGATCTGCAGGTGTGCATGGGGCCAAGTTCTCATCAGAGATCAACCTCCAGGAAGTCCTCTCCAATTATGTTTGAGCAAGTGACAGATGTATGAAACTCACAACCACCAGAGACTTCCAAAAGTACTCAGGACAGAAGGACTTTGACAATGAGAAAGAGGAGGTGCTGGAGCAGGTTGTCCACAGAAGTTATGGATGCTCTGTCCCTGGAAGTGTTCAAGGCCAGTTTGGATGTGGCCCTGAACAACATTATCTAGTGACTCTCCTGCAGCAGGGGGCTTGAGCTTAATGATCTTTGATGTCCCTTCCAAACCAAGCTATTCTATGATTCTACGAAAAAAAAAAAATCTGGTAAAAGGTTTTAATATGATCAGAAAAAAGAAAAGAAAGAAAAAAAAAAAA